CTGAAGTATCCTGGGATGTATTATAAACCTGTTTTCCTGTATATTCTATCAATTAATCCACCTATTATCACTTGTATACCTACACATGTGCATAAAAAACTCTTTTATTCATGTTTGCTTTGTAGATACCTTAGTAAAAGTAGATACAAATTGGTGACAAGTTTTAGTTTGGAGACGCAGCAAATCACGGCCCTGTCAGCAGTCAATGGTTTTTACTCCTGTATCCTTATCTCAAAGATCCCTGTTGTATATTATTTATCTCAGCCTCGAGCTCCTGTTGTATTGAAGTATCAAACAAAACAATAGGAATTAGGCATTTCTTTGGAAACTTTTTGTCACTTAATGTTATTGATTTAGTTAATTCTGTTTTCATGATCAATCTTTAAACGAGTTATTCATAAAAAATAAAAATGTATTGAAAGTTTAAGTGTTCATGAAAACAATAGATCAGAGCAAATGAAACTCCCTTGCAGGAAGTACATTTGAGCTTATGCTGTGATGCTACAACTTACACTGATGATATTTGGCCAGAAGCATATGCTGACATGAAGTGCTATCAAATTTGTTCAAATGAATGACCTTGGCCCACCAAGAGGTCAAGGGTCATGATAATTTGCTTGGAGCTTAATGGCTTAATGGTGTTGAGTGCTATGAACTGTGGAATCTGAATGAATGACCTAGACAAACTTTAAAGGTCTAATTATTAAAAAAAGTGAAAAATCTTTCAATCAAGATCATGATCATTTTAAAGTAATAAAATCTTCCACCAAAGACCCATAATGTGTTAAGTAATGACAATTAGCCAATTTAAACAAATTTGTCGTTGAGCTTCTTTTACAGTCTAAGATGAATAACAGGTGAGTGATACAGGCCAATGGAGTCTGTTGTTAGTACCACACTAGACATGTTGTACACCACAGGATGCATGACCTTCTCCTTAAGGATAAAGGGCACAAGGTCATCTTGTACTCCATTATTCTGCAAGAGTGGACAAATACCTTTTATATATGAAGATTATTTAAAATAATGATACGACCTTTGACATGTCGAATGTATATATCAGTTAGTCTACACAACTAGAACGTTCCTTAACAAGCGGTCAGACCTGGTGCTGTGTGCTGGGACTAACAAATGTATAGAGATACAGGATATGAATGTTGGTCAGACAGTGCGTACCATGACTGATGTCCACACAAAGCCAGCCCATGTCATCTGTCAGAATGAGGTGAGGACTTCTGTAACGCACTCAGTGTCCTATCAACTATAAACAAATACTGTAAACAATGACATGAAATATATAAATATCATGTTCTGTTTTCGGTGTCTTAAAATAGAATCTGGTTCAGGCTTCAACCTTTGAAAAACTTTTGTAATTTTACTTGTAATGACCAGGAGAGTCCCTTTTTACACTCAGCAAGATTTGAAGCAATTGCTCTAATACACTTTGTATTAAAAACGGTTTTGTTTTTAGAGAAAGCTTCTTCTGTTCATGTCACATTTTTCTCTATGCTTTCCTCTGACATATGATGTATGACATAAAGAGAAAGTTACTGTCCTGGTAGTAATTTCTCAATATATCTAATCTGAGTTTATTTTTCTCAAATATTTTCAAAGTAGTTTTATAAAATTCAATGCATAATGCAAAATAAACTGCTTTAGTATCAATAATATGAAATCAGAACAAAGTCAATACTAAATAGAATTGAAAATGTTTTTTCCAGGGATCCACCTTCACCTCCCATCCTCCAGACGCGTATAACCTCTTTGTGACGGCTGCTGCAGGGGATTGTATCAAACTGTGGGACATCCGTACCAACAGGTGAGAGCCGCGTTCTTATCCTGTTAGTCATAG